AAATATACTCTCGTGCAAAGTCACTCATTTCATACATTAACTTGTAGACTACATAGGTGTTCGTAACACGTTTCTAATTGTTGATGCAAAATTCGTAGCAATTCTGAAATTCAGTTTAAAAGTTAGTTTCTTGACCAAAAATGCAATAAACGATTGAAGTTAAAAAAAAGTTAAGCTTACCTCTTTTCAGCGTCTTCACATAATGTGCTTCACAAAATGGCTCCAATTTTTGGCTGGAAAGGCATCACGGGAAATTGCATATCACGTGGCTCGTATAGTTACTTAAAAAGTTATGCTCGATTTACTTAATTTTGAAGCAATTATTATAGTAGTTGACATGACTTATGTTTTTTCATTTTATTTATGCATACATTTAAGTTCACCTAGTTACTTATATTTTTGTGTTACACACACTAAATATGTTAAGTAGAGGTTGAAAAGTTATGAATACTTATTTTTTTGTGTTAAATCTAATAACTTTTATAAGTAATGGTTGTTCAGCCAACGAATCGTTTTTTAGAGTGTAGGTTTAAAATAGAAATCTGGTGCAATTGTATTATGTTTATTATTTTTATTTTTTTGTTTTACATTTGCCATGATAATTAAGACAGTGTGCTATGGGACATAAGGTACACCATATGCTAGAAATTACAAACAAACAAACAATAAATAATCCAGCAAATGAAGTACTTTTGAGACAAAAGAAACTTCATTTCATTTTATTAATTTATCTTGTGGTATTAGAAAAATTTATATTATCAAATGTAAACTAAAAGGTTTAAGGTGAGTAAGATTTCCATAAAAAAAAGAAAGAAATCAATGCTTTTATTCAGAAAGGATGCCTTAGATTGACAGTCAAGTGACATGAAAAAAATGGTTTTAAATTGATGCTGTTCTTTTGAGCATTGAATAATTTTGAATTGAATAATTTACATTTTAAAACATATTAAAAAAGAAATTCTAAACCGCTAATAATATTTCACAATATTACTGATTAAACTGCATTTTTTTATCAAATTAAAGCATAAATGTTATTCTGCCATGCTGCACGTTATATACTATTATACCATCTCTAATGGTACAGTAATTTATGAAATTACAGTAGTTATGAAATCACATTCAACCAACAAGCTACATTGAGTTAGAGGAACTTAATTTGTAACAAATTCAAAGTCACTCACTTATTTGGGTTGTAACCCTGGAACCAATTAATCCAATCCATTTCAGTTTGTAGCACAAGCTTAATGAAACTTACTTAGCATGTTTATTTAATGAACAAGTAAGATATTACTTGTCAATGGCATTAGCACAGTCGTTGCTTATGGAGTCAATGTACTGCTTAACTGTAACTACTATTCAGCACAATGAAAACCACACAAACTTTAACATTTCAGAAACTCTTTTAAATGGAAAACATAACAACATTAAACACTAACATGTATTTTCTTTCACTAATAAATAACACTTAATTTCAACATTTATTCTCCTTATCCAGTCCTATGCAAAGCATACTGGAGCCTAGAAATCCACTGCCTAATTTCAAAAGTTATCAAGAAAATTTGATAAAGTTACTACAACATTTTTTATTTTTAAATCAATTAACGCAGACATTTTAGTTTAAATATTGGGTTGATGTAATGATCAACATTATTATGTCAACAGAACTCAACAAAATAATGTTTGCAACTTAAAAGGTTTAATTAAAACAATAAATTAGAATTTTTAAGTTGCAACCACACATTTGTTGTGGTAACGGGTCCTTACTTTTTAGAGCTACATCTCTAATGGTAATACAAATATAGCAATAATTTGCTACCATGCTATAATGTAACTAATTAACTTTTTATGTAAGGGACAATAGCAATAACTAGTAATGACATTCAAACAAACTCCAACACATACATCATAATCAGAGTCTCTTTTCCAGGAATATCATCAGAGACAGGGACAATGAGAGCCTGAGCAGCGGGGCAAGAGAAAGATGACAGGGGGAGGGAGCTGGCACAGCAGATGGACACATTCTTGGCACCTGCCACCCATCAGGGGCTGAACAGTGACACTGGGGCCATCTTTCTCTAATAGAATGTGCCACCCAAGACCTTCAGTGAATGTGAACATCACATGCTACTGAACACCTGGACTAAAGCCAACAAGTCCAAAAACAGTCCCATAAACATTTACGTCTCCAACATAGACCTTCTCACATACAGCACAGAGTCCTGATTAGACATCGTGTGAGGCGATTACACATGAACAACTCACACATTCACCGCCAACAGACTCACTGATGAAGCACTAATGTAAATGAGCTTGGCTTGGTGATTTTGGTCATTAATGTTGAACCAAATGAACAGAGGACTTTAAAAAAAAAAATTGTACAGTGGATACACAAAGTATTTCGACACTTAAGTCAATGAATTTCATTGCTTTTAACCAGGTGGTCTCAAGGTGATTTTAGTGGATCAGTTAAATTCCCACAGGTGTCCTAACAGAATAACCACAGTTGTTATCCATCACATTAGCTAAAGACATGTTACACAAAGGCTTATTTTAAACAATTGATCTATTTTATTATCAAAAACCTAACAAAAAAGGGGGTTCTTATATGGATGATTAGAAGTGCCACTTAAAAATAAAATAAAGGAATTATCAATTGATTAATTTGAAAATAAAAATGTAAATGGATAAATTACTTCTCAAATTGACAAATTAAAAAACATTTAAAATGGTTTATGTTTAAAAGTGCAATTAAATATTACACTAAAAATAATAAATCATATTTCAAATTGACAAATAAATGGACATTTATAACTGAATTTAATTGTTGTTAAAAATACTAGTTAAATGTAAAAATACAAATAAATAAGAAAAATTTATAATTTTTAAATGCAACTTTTTAATTGCCAATTGCTTTTCTTTATTAATTTATCAATCAAGTAAAAAAAAGCCATTGATCAGTCCACCGCTTCCACAGGAAACAATGAACTCTCAACTGAATTTTCGGACTGTCTTTTGACAGACAATATTCTTTTACTATATTTCTTTCAAATAAACTTGGTTTAATATTTCTTTAAAAAATAAAATGCAAAAACATTCATATATTTTGAATTTTGGATTAAGTTTTGGGAGCTTTTAGGAGCCAATTTATAACAAGTAAAGTCTATATAATTTTTTTGTTTTGTATCCAAGTTCATATGACTCATGTGTTATATTTAGGGATGGCCCGATACCATTTTTTTTCAAACCGATAAGAGTACGAGTATTTACATTTGTGTACTTGCCGATACCGAGTACCGATACCGATATTTCTACCGCAAAAGTAATAGGCTCCCAGAAAAGAAGACGACTATTTTAGAACACAGGTTAGAAGACTGTTTTTATTTTCTTCTCTGCTTGTTTTAACAAGTCTAAAAATAAATAAAAATTAGTAAAATAATAAATGTATTAACACACAAACCACTGTTAATTTAACATAAAAGCAAGCAGGCTACTGCGTGTATGGTCTGGCATGACTGAATGCGCGCAAAGTGCGCTCCCTTAATAAATCCTAAAAGCTGACAGTTCATCGCGATCTCTCACATCTCTGTTATTATCAATGAAGCTGACTGCACAATCAATCTTTCATAATATCCACACTTTGTTTGTTATAATTAGAGGATTTGCCAGCATACAGAATTCAGCACTGAACAAAAAAGTCCGTTTTGAGCGGTGAGGGGAGTCTATCTTAAATGCTTCTGATTGGCCATTGCGTTCAAGAAATCAACACATATGTCTGTGATTGGCTACATCGCTCAACGCTGTAACCATGTTATGAATAGAAACTCTGGCCTGTAAATCGTTTCTATTTTGTTGTAGTTGTTCTTGTTGCTTTTCTGCAAGAGATGAATAAAAATCTTTTAGTTTTTATGTTTTATTCATAGATATTTCTAGTTTGCGGGAGTCCCGCGAATCGTTTTATTCTCCCGTAACCCGCACACACAGAGTGAGTGCATTACCGCCCGCGCGCGCGCTCGGCCATCAGATCTATGATGCGTCTTCAGATGTTTAATTAGATTGCTGGTGTTAAACGATGTACTTTCTTTCCCTCCTCTCGACACCTTAGCTGAACATAACTCACAGTCTGCCTTGCTGTTGTCATCACCCCTTATCTTGAAATGAGCCCAAACCGCCGACATTATACTTTCCTATGCCTCAGTTCACCTCGACAAAGCACTCGCGGCGGCCAGTTTCGTTTTGCAAAATGTACGTGGTATCGGCGAATTTTTATGAGTACGAGTACGAGTATATTAGGACAGTATCGGCCCGATCCCCGATGCCAGTATCGGTATCGGGCCATCCCTAGTTATATTCCAGGTTTAACTTGACAACCAAATCAGTGTGTTTTGCGAACAAATCATTCAGACCTTATGTATAACGAATGTATAACAATTAGTCTACAGATTTTGTTGTATAGTGGTCTCAGTTATACTGAGAGATAATGCACTGCCATGAAATTGAAAGTTGAAAAAGCCACAGAGCCTACAGTCTGATTTCAATGTGTGAGTGTGTTTTCCAAATGTCTTTTTTTTTAAATGCTAAGATAGACTCGGCATATAAATGGCTACCAGTGTCGGACTTTCATGGTTAGATGGTCACCTGTCCTCCAAAATAAAATGACATTGGCAAGACGACAGCTTCAAAGAGCCAGACAAGACGTTTTAGTATGATGCAAGATAGACCAAGAGCCCTTGTGTCCTGCAGTCCTGGTACAGTAACATCCTTGGATATTTCAAGCAAATTTTGCATCTTGAGTTTTTGCGTAAAAGCCACATTTTAGTCTGTGTAATTCAATTTGCTGCATCGTTTCTCTGCATTTTGACTCCAAGTCGATCATGGCTTCCCAGTTCTGATCCTCCAGTGGAAAAACACATTTTGCAAACCCGTACATGCGTTCTGACCATGGTCATATGCAAATATGTACAAATGCTAATAATTAAAAAAGTCAAGGCTATAAATCTTACCAGATCCCTCGTGTGTTCCCTCAAGTTGTTTATAGGGGTTGAACTTGGGCTTAGGAGCCACAACAGGAGCAAACTTCTTCGGAGACTGTTGCTGGGATACAGAAATGCTGGTGGTACCCATGGGTAAGCTGGTCTCCATTCGTGCACTCACATGACCTTGCTGGTCACCATCATTATAGCCACCCCACATGTTTCTGGAGTCAAGAAATCTAAAAAAAACAACAAGACCACATTATTATATTGCACTGAGATTAACAGGTCCCATAGCATCCACAATGTTTGATGAAATGTAGCAGTGTCTGAATTCCAGTGTTACATTCCTTCCTAAAAATACAGTTGCTTTTATGCATAATATAGATATGGGTGGATGAACCAACGTGGTTCTTTTCATCAGGGACCGCATTCCCATCCCTAGAGCTTTGTGTGTTCTTCTCCCTCTCTCAGTTCTTAGCTGTGGACTTAGCAAAGGAAACTGAGCATTTCAAACACCAGGCATGGAAGAACTAGATAAAGCTCAAAGTGCCATCAAATCTTATTATTACATCAGAAAATCTGAGTGTGCCCCAAAATTCTCTGAGTTCACTCAAAATAATGCTCATGTCATGTCATGACAAAAGTTCAAATGACTGCAATATTCCAAACCCGATCGGTGTGTTTTCATTCAGACCAGTTTTGTGAACTGCATCCTACAATTTATAAAAAAGATTGAGCTCAATTAAATAATTTGTTCATGAAAGAACTCTCATGAACATGCCAAGGAGAGTTATTGATTGAGTTTCAGTTAAACTTAAATTTTGGTCTGATTCTCACACAAAGCTGTTGTATTACAGTGTTCAAATCATGTCAGAAAGATTGTATTTACAAGTTGAGCGCACATGTGCCACCTCAAAGTCGAAATTATGAGTGGGAAAGTGTTGTATAATTAAGATACAACATGTAGCCTAACTAAGTATACATTGGCTTCATAAATTGATTTTTAGCAAGAGTAGCAAAAACACAATGTGCATTATTTGTTCATCATTTTGTAGAAGTAGAGTTAAAACAAAACTTGCTGTATTTTTTGTAATTAATAAAGATGAGGTACTAACTCGACCACAGTGATTTGAGCACACTTGTCCCTATAAGTATGACTTGTCACCTCCCAGCTTCCCAAAGGGATATGATTAAACCATAAGGACCACATTTATGATACTTTTTGGTTTATCCATCACTTCCATTATATTGTCAAGAGTTGCAAGGGCATTCCTAAAAAATGATAGATCCACATGGATAAATTACAGAATGTTCATTTTTGGGTGAACTTTCCCTTTAAGAAAGTGTTTCAGCTTTCAGATAAAAAGTTTTAGGACTTGGCATCCTCCAAAACCAAAGATGGTGCAAATCATTCCTCAAGTTCTCTGGGACGTGCCAAGGTATCAAAAAAGAGACTGTAATTTGATATAATCCCTTACAAACACAGCACTCACACTTCCATAGTTAGAAGCAAACAATTGCCATGTTGCTAACCTGTCTCAATTTAAATAAAAAATCAATACGTCAACTGAGCGTAATGTGATGAAGAACTGGGAATGTTCTAGTTGTGCCGAAGCTCAGACAGCTGCCAGAGAACATGACAGCAGTTCAGCTTTCACTGATGTGGTGAAAGCTGTAGTAACAGCAACGTTAACAACATTATTGATGACTTCTAATGCATTTGTTGTCAACTTCAGGGGCATGGGAGCTAACTGCAGCATCACAGCTCTAGCCAACTTATTAAAATAGCTTATTTACTTGAATCCTTTATTTGTGTTCAACTTGTATCTGAGACAGACATATTTAGCTGGTAGTTTAGTTTAGGCATTTAGCTGCAGGGTCGCTGCTGTCTATTTTGACTCTTAAAATTGCACCAACATAATATTATACTTCTACTTCCCTACTTATTTGCATTATTTCCAAACGTAGGAGATTACTTGGAAGGAGACTGATTAAAAAATGATAATAATTGCAAAAGTGACTGTATAGTGACTTAATATGTCATTTTACAATATGTGCCACATGAGGACGATGATACATCGCTCAATAAATAAAATGTTTGTTATATTTATTGAAAATGCTGTGGGATTTGACAGGTTTTTAAGTTGACAAGTCTTTTCTTGAACATGATTAAAAAAAAACACGAAACTAAAAAAAATATAAAAAGTACATTTCTAAGAACTTGCCACATGTGCTTTAAAATAGATACATATTCTTGTCTTTATTGTGTACACTCTTGTTTGTCATTGCACACTAAATATTGTTACAACTATGGTACTTGTTTTTAAATAGATAATCCATAAAGAAAGAGAAACAAAAAAGAAAATAGGAAAAAGAATATCTTACTGGCTGAAGTCTCTAATAGCTGTTGTTTTACCATCGCAACCGTTCTGAAATCGAATGAAACACTATTTGAACTATTTCAACACAGCATCTTTCATTTTTTCCCCCTGCTTTTGGTCTTTATTGTGGGTGCCATTGTTGCTTTTTGTAGCTGTGTACGCTGCTTGCCTGCTTCTAACTGATGCAGACTTTACGTTTTCCCTCAAGAGACGAGCAAAAAGAGCCCACGCACATGTTCTAATATCATCTAGCCACACCACACGGCAAAAACTTCTTAACCAAGCTTCCCCATTGATCCTCCGGCATCAGAGCTCTCCATTTCCCATCATTCTGCTCACACACACACACACATCTATCAAGGGCCATAAAAGGGAACAGCGCAATGACAGGGGACATTATCACACAGTAATGGTTTTAACACACCTGAACTCTCTGGCAAAGGATGAAAAAGATGGTTTCACAGCAGACGCGATGGGAGTGAGGAATCTATACAGCACATTTCTTCACAAACGCTCAAGGTGTGTCATACTTCCTGACCTGTGCTGCAGACTCTATTATAATGCCTGGAGAGTGTGTGAGAGAAGAATAAAGCACAGCTTAACCTTAACCCCGACCTCTTCAGTGAAAAGGAAAACAGTGAGTAGGGGGATCAATGTGGATCAAAGAGAATATAGTCAGATGGGAACAGATACAAAGGGGCCTTCCTTTCCACCATGTTTTGCAAATGCAATATGAGCACAATAAAATAGTCATTTTGTGGAACTCTTTAACATGCTGTTATCCTGACACAATTTATTCAAGTTTTTTTTTTTTTTTTTTTTTTTTTTTACATTTCTTAACTAAGGGAAACATGAGCAAACCCCAAATTACCAGGGAACTACCATTTTTACAATGTATTTATACAATGGGATCCAGAAATCTGAAACCACTTTTACAATTACTTCTATTTTGCATATTTTTTTATATTTATTTTCAGCAAGAATGCATTGAATCGGTCAAACACCTTTACATTATTACAAAAAAAACATCTATTTTCAATAAATGCTGTTGTACTGAACTTTTTACTCTTCAACAAAAAAAAAATATCCACATATCACAGTTTCCACAAAAATATTGATAATAATATGTTTCTAGGGCAGCAAATCAGTATATTAGAATGATTTCTGAAGGATCATGTGACTGAGACTGGAGAAATGATGCTGAAATTCAGCTTTGCCATCAGAAGTATTATTATACAATTTAAATATTAAAATAGGAAAGTTATTTCAAATTGTATAATAATACTTCACAATTGCACTGTTTTTACTGTAGTTTTCATCAAATGAATGCAGCATTGGTGAGCATGTAGACGTATAAAACCTCGAACTTTTGAATGGTAAAGTGCATTTAAATTATTAGGATTTTTTTTTTTTTTTTTTTTTTAGTTTATTTCGGCAATATCATGATATATTAATATATTACTGATTCAGCACCATACTATATTATGGTACCCAGGTAATATAATTTGATATCATTATACTGCATCACGGTACTATTGCTGTGCTTTTTTGTAAGGGTGGTCTTTGTAACCATCTTGTATAAAAGATACATTTACTGTTAAAGTGGTCATTCGTCCTAAGGGAGGTCCTGGAGATTTAAAGGATCCGCTAGCTGACTAATCAAATAGATAAGTCCATGCGTTTATAGATATAAGCTTACTGCCACCTTTCCACTGCCAAACTTCACAGTGACACTGGGTGTGGGTGCGGGTGTGTATGTGTGTGTATTATAATCTCAATATAATTTGATTAGCAAGGGCTTTCCTAAGGGTGATCAGAACATGGAGACAACACATGATGACATTTCATCTCATTTTGTCTTCTCCATCTACGGTTGCTATTATTTTCATGGAAGCCATCTTAATGGCCTGTGACAATCTGCCAGCCTTTACTGTGTTGTAAAGCAATGACATGGCAGGTCATGTGTTGCAGCAGACACTGAGTGCAGGCCCTGATCTAAAGGTTCAAGTGACACGTAAACAATGCCACAGACACTTGAGAATAAACAAGATAGCACACTGCACTCTGACATGACAAGTCGTCGCACACATACACACTTTCTGTATCTCAAGAGGACATATGATGGAATGAGGAGTATTACGCAGACTCTTGGACTGAAAAAAAAATTTAATAAATAAAAATGTGTTAATGAAATTTTTGTTCTAATTTTGTTCAAGTAAAAAATATTTAAATATTCTTAAAACACTATTTGCAAAGCAGTTTTATTAGTTCAAATGATTTTATTCAGTCGTGTGTGTGTACTGTATGTATAATAAATGCTTTGTTTTAAACATATCTTACAACAAAACAAACAGAAAGAGTGGAAAATAAACTTAATTCAAGACATTCTCTCAAAAATGATCTTGTTTTAAGGATGTTAAAATATATTTACTGGAAAACAACACAAAAGCATAAAAATATATATAATATCATTAAATATTAATATTTTAAACATTTACAAAAGCAGTGTGTAAATGTCCCTTGCAGGTAAGGTTTCTGTTAAGTCCAAAGTACAGTGTGCATGACAAATTTTGTCATCAGCATAGTATGTGCATAGTCCGATTTTTCTCTTTAAACGTACTTATCTGTAAGTGAATCAGTTTAAGTAAGCTCTTGGCTAAATAAAAAAAGTAAAAGTGGCTATATGTAGAATTCAGAATCCCTTGTTATTAGCGTCACCGGTGGCCATTGACTGAACTGAACTTATTGCTTGTGCGCACACTCTTGCACACATACAAGAAACCAATCTTGATTCAAGGCCCCGATATGTACTGCATGCTTTCCTCAAATATCAATATAAACACACAGCATTAATG